CAGGGAGCCTGATGCGGGGCTCGATCCCAGGACCCTGGGATCATGACCTGAGCCGAAGGCAGACGCTTAACGACTGAGCCACCCAGGCGCCCCAAGCCTCAGGTTTTCTATCTGTAAGGCAGGGGGGTGGGGACACCCCCGTGGCGTCTGCTCAAGCCACCCCTCCCAGAGGTGTAAAGCCCGAGCCGGGCAGGCTCTGGGAGCCTTTATTTAGCTTTAGTCTCCCTGGCGGCCACTCAGAGGACACTGGAAAGAGCTGGGTGGCCGCCCAGCAGGAACCAGCAGGGTGGTAGGTTCCTGCTGCCCCCTGAGGCCAGTGATAATGCCAACCCCACAGAGCCCCTCACAAGGCAGCAGGGAGCCTCCGGGGCAACACAGGCCCATCGTGGAGAATGGGAAGTGGCAGGGCCCAGGGCCTCTTTCTCTTGTCTCTCCACGAGGCAAAGGCCTTCTCGACCTTTATCCACATGGGCAAAGTGAGACTCGCGATTGACTATAGCAGTCCTGTGGGGCGTGAGTGAAGACTCCAGGTTTCCCAATTCCCACCCACCGCGGGCCTGGCTCTGTGCTGGAACCTGGAGATAACGGCCTCAGAGAAGGCCCAGAAGTGAGTTGGGAGACCATTCTGGTGGCAGTGGCCATGACGATGGTGATAACAGTGGAACACGTTTGGTATTGAGTCCTGGGTTGCAAGCAGTTTCCTGGGAGTAACTCCTGAGGCCCCATTTCCCAAAGAGGAACGCCGAGGCTTGGGAGAGTTTTAAGTGTTTTAGCCAAGGTCATGTTGCCAGTAAATGGTGGAGCTGGGTGACGTGACCGTGCAGTAACAACCGCTCCCAGTTACTGAGCATTTACTCTGGGCTGGAAATCGATCTAAACACCTGAAGTACATTTTCTTGTTTGAGCCCCAGAATGGTTCCCAGAGAGAGAGAGATTGTCCCCTTGGATGGTAATGGCAGTCGCCAGCACAGGAATGGGGCTTGCTGAGCATCCAGCACGGCTCTGGACTGTTGACTTCAACTTCTCATCTCCTTTGCTTCTCCTGGTGCCACCCTGTGAGGTTGGTGTGGTGGTCGCCTTTGACAGATGAGGAAACGGAGGTCCCTAGAGGTTAGGGGATTGACCCAAGGACACCCAGCCTTTACTCTGGTGGCCATGGATTATGACCCCACATTTGGGGCCCTGAGATTGTCCTCCAGCATCTTATCATGTTACCTGGGGATCATGCAGGGGCCTTTGGAGCACAGTGATGCGGCATGGGGGCTCTTGGGGGAGGCTCTGTTGAAGCTGAGACCTGGGGACAAAGTAGGTGGAGCGAGGGGAAGAGAGTTCCAGGTGGAAGGAACAGCCTGTGCAGAGGCCACGAGTCAAGAGTGAGCTGGTGCATTTGGGGAACCATGAGGGCTAGCATCTGCCTAGGACCCAGAGTTGGGAGAGGAGAGTGGGACCCAGGTCCTCATGGGGCCTTGGTGCCATCTGGGCAGCTTGGGGCAAGGGTCAGGGTTCCCGTCTGAACCCAGACACTCCAGGTTGGGGTGGCAGAGAGGGCTGCAGACAGATGTGGATATTTCAAAGACTGGCAGCTTCTGAGTCTAGCTTGGGGGAGCAGCAATGGAAAGTGGTGGCACCTCTCAGGACTCAGTCAGTGGCTCTGGATTGAGCAGTCACTGCTGAGAGCCAGGGGAGGTGATGGAGCCAAGCAGGGCTGGAGAGCAGACAGGGCCGTGCCATGTGAGGTGGGGTCCAGTGGGGACCTAAGCGAGAGGGGGAATGAGAAGGGGCACCATCTGAGCTGGGGGTGCAGTAGAAGAGGAGGTCTGGGGAGCAACAGCTGGGGAAGGGGGGACAGGAGGCTGGTGGGCACCGAGCTAAGGCTCAAGGAGGCCACTGAGCTCAATTGTGGGGGTGGAAGCCGGGGGTTGGGCCACCGAGGGTGGTGCAGACATTCCCTGGGGCCCTGGAGACAGAGCTGAAGGGGCCTCGGGAGTGGTCCAGGAGCAGTGCTCTGGGTGGAGCGAGTTGGAGAGACATCTAGAAGTGAAAGTAGTCAGGCCTGGGTAGCAGAGAGGGAGGGAAAAACAGGGCCAGTGAGCAGGCCTCAGCTAGGGGCAGAGGTGGCTCGAGGAGGTTGCTGGGCAGGGAAGGGCACCCAAGTGTCACTGAGGGCAGCTCCAGGGAGGAGGGGGAGCCTGAGACCCCCATCCAGTATTTCATCAGTTTATTCATCCAACAAGTGTTTCCTGAGTCTTTACTGTGTGCTTGTGTGAGACACAAGAGTGAGCAGATCCCCACCTCCGTGGAGCCAGTATCCTGGGAGGGGGACACATGGAAAACACAGTAAGTAATTGTCACCAGATGTTAGCAGATAATGAGTGCTGAGGAGGAAGGTGACACAAGACAAGAGTAAGGGGAGGTTGCCATCTTCAGCACGGTGGTCGGGGAGGGCTTCATCTGTAAAGTGACAATTGAGCCAAGATGGTTAGGATGCGAGGGAGTAAGTGGTATGGGGGGCGGAAAATCTGGAGGGAGAGCTTTCCAGGCTGCAGAAACAGCCAGTGCAAAGGCCCTGAGGTTGGCAGTGGGTTCAAGAAAAGGTGAGGCGGCCAGTGTGACTGGAGGGAGGGGGGCAGATCCGCAGGGCCTTGTGGGTCATGGATAGGACTTAGGCTTTTGCTGAGTGTTGTGGATGCCAAGGAGGGTTCTGGTTCTGAGCGGGCAGGCCGGGGTGGGGGTGGAGTGTGCCCAGACTCAGGTGTGCGCAGGTATACTGGTGGGGGTGGAAGCCGGGGGTTGGGCCACCGAGGGTGGTGCAGACATTCCCTGGGGCCGTCCCAGGTGCAGTGGGTGGGAGCCCTGGGTGGGGCCCGGCTGAGGCCCACGGCCTGAAGGTCTGTGTCTGCCCCCAGGCCCGGGTGGAGCGCATGGAGCAGTTCCAGAAGGAGAAGGAGGAGCTGGACAGGGGCTGCCGCGAGTGCAGGCGCAAGGTGGCTGAGTGCCAGCGGAAGCTGAAGGAGCTGGAGGTGGCCGAGGGCGAGGGCAGCAAGCTGGAGCTGGAGCGGCTGCAGGCCGAGGCTCAGCAGCTGCGCAAGGAGGAGCGGAGCTGGGAGCAGAAACTGGAGGAGATGCGCAAGAAGGAGAAGAGCATGCCCTGGAATGTGGACACGCTCAGCAAGGATGGCTTCAGCAAGGTGGGGGGGGTGTGCTTGGTGGTGGGACAGGTGCGGGGTTGGGGGGGAAGGCCTCTTCAGGTCAAGGGGTGGAGGAACAGGTATGTGGGGCCGGGTGGACGAAGCACCCCACTGGTACCCCCCTCTGATCTGCCCGAAGGCCCTAGTCCGAGGCCACATGTGCCACACCCACGCTCCTGCCACACTGATGCTCATGACACCGTCACCACCTCCGCCGTGGAAGGGATGGGCGCTGCGGCCTCGGCCCACGAGGCCGTGCTGGACGCGCCCTGCGGCCTCGCCCCAGCCCACTCCCCCTCTCGCCCCATCACAGAGCATGGTCAATACCAAGCCAGAGCAGGCGGAGGAGGAGTCGGAGGAGGTGAGGGAGCAGAAACACAAAACCTTCGTGGAGAAGTACGAGAAACAGATCAAGCACTTCGGTGAGCTGGGCACCGGTTGGAGGGGGCCCACCGGGGGGCGGGGTGCATAGGACAGGGGCTGGCCCTCTGCCTCCAGGGCCCTTCAGCGCTTTGCCAACACCTTCTGTAGGCATGCTCCGCCGCTGGGACGACAGCCAGAAGTATCTATCAGACAATGTCCATCTGGTGTGTGAGGAGACGGCCAACTACCTAGTCATCTGGTGCATTGACCTAGAGGTGGAGGAGGTGAGTGGAGCCTGCCCTGGGACTGGGGAAGAGTCCTTCCCTGAGGCCGCCACTTGGTGACATCCTGCCTATATTCTCTCTGGGCAGAAATGCGCACTCATGGAGCAGGTGGCCCACCAGACCATTGTCATGCAGTTCATCCTGGAGCTGGCCAAGAGCCTGAAGGTGGATCCCCGGGCCTGCTTCCGGCAGTTCTTCACTAAGATCAAGGTAGCATCCCTGAGGAGCCTGGGTGGGGTGGGGTGTGGCTCTCTCCAGGGCACCAGCCTCTGTCTACAGGAGGGGTGGACACATGTCCACTCAGACTCAACGGCCGTGGGATCAGAGCCTGCTCTATCAGGGGAGGGCAGAGACGTGGAGGGGCCAGTGGTCGGCCCCCATACAGAGTTTAAGAGACACGGGTGAGGAACAGAGTCAAGGACACCTCGGGGTTCCTCAGCTGAGCACTTGGAAGAACAGAGCTCCCCGTGCTGAGGTCGGGGAGACTGAGGGCAGGGCAGCCTGTGCGGAGCGATCCAGACAGAACTCAAGTGAGGCGTGTTGAGTGTGGGGTGCCTGCAGGCCCCTGCAGGCACATGTGGAAGAGGGGAGTGTGGCCGGCCTGTGGTTTGGGTGGGGGGTGGGCAGGCAGGCAGGCAGGCAGGTGATCCGTCAGCAGGGAGGCGACAGCGTCTGCGGGTCTGCGGTGGGCCGGTCCTGGGGCCGGCCCAGTGACCGTCTCTCGGCCCCGACCCTCCAGACAGCCGACCGCCAGTACATGGAGGGCTTCAACGATGAACTCGAGGCGTTCAAGGAGCGTGTGCGGGGCCGCGCCAAGCTGCGCATCGAGAAGGCCATGAAGGAGTATGAGGAGGAGGAGCGCAAGAAGCGGCTGGGCCCGGGCGGCTTGGACCCCGTTGAAGTCTATGAGTCTCTCCCTGAGGTGCGGCTCTCCTGCCCCAGCAGGGGGGTGGGGGCAGGGGGGTTGGGCAGCGGCAGGCGGGCCCCCCTGGGGACCCAGGCTCTGACCCGCGGCCCATCTGCACCCACAGGAGCTCCAGAAATGCTTTGACGTGAAGGACGTGCAGATGCTCCAAGATGCCATCAGCAAGATGGACCCCACCGTGAGTAACAGCGCCCCAGGCCCGCCCACCAGCCGAGCTGCGCCTCCTGAGCAAGCGATATGTCCTCCTGTCCCCCTCCAGCCCTGCTCCCCACTTGGCTGGGAGAAGCGTCCCTTGTGGGCTTCACGGAAGAATAGGGGAGGCTTGCATCCACACACTGGTTTACACGTATTAAGCACCTCCTGTGTGACTACACGCAGCAGTGAACCCGGAACTTTCAGCATGTCCCCTGCCATGGAGTGTCACCGCCCCTGTGGGCCATTTATGAGCCTAGTGGGCATACCAGGTTGGCCCCACCTTTGTCCAAGGAAGGGGTGCTCCTCCCTGGCCTTGGTTACCCCATCAAACCAGTTTCTCTGGATACTGACTTGGAGCATGCATGGGGTGGGGGGGGCTGAGCTCACAGTACACATCAGCTGCGGTTGTACGTACGTGTGTATTTTAAAGTAAGCGCTATGCCCGGCATGGGGCTTGAACCCATGACCCCGAGATCAAGAGTCCCATTCTCTACTGACTGAGCCAGCCAAATGCCCCTAACTGTTGTTAATATTAGGAGCAGTGATCGTGCTGGTAGACAGGACCTTGTGTCTTAGTAGACCCTGGTTTGACCCCATTCCTGCTGCTTGGCTCACTGGTTGGCCACACTAGTTTCCTCATCTGTGAAATGGGTCTAGTTGCAGGACCTGGTCCAGGATTTCTAGAAGCTTCCATGAAAAAAGATACCTAGACCGAGGGTCTTCACCCTATGGTTCACAAGCTCACTGCCTGTCTTTAAAAAGTAAAAGTTTTACTGGAATGCAGCTTTATTCTGGACGTACACTATTTAAACTTCAGTTCACGTTAAGTGAAATGTAAAGTTCTGTTCTTCACCTGAACTAGCCACGTTTGAAGGAGTCGGCAGCCACATGCGGCTGTGGTGGCTACCATGTCGGACAATGCATATTACAGGCCACTTCCATCATTGCAGAGTGCTCTGGACAGCTCTGGTCTAGAATAAGCAGTGAGCAGGCTTAAGGATGCACAGGGGGATAGGCGGGCCAACTGGCGGGGGGCAGCCCGGCCTCACCACCCTTCTCCCCACAGGATGCGAAGTACCACATGCAGCGCTGCATCGACTCCGGCCTCTGGGTCCCCAACTCCAAGTCCAGCGAGGCCAAGGATGGGGAGGAGGCGGGCCCCAGGGACCCCTTGCTGGAAGCCGGCCCCAAGCCAGGCGACAAGAAGGATGTCAGCGCCTGACGCGCCCCAGCTGCTGCCCACCTGCCTGCAGGCCCCTGTGTGCCCCTTTTCAGAAAACAAAAATAGATGCCATCTCCCCAGCTCCTGGCTTCCTCCATTTTCGCTGCTCCCGCCCAGCCTGGGGCCGGGAGAAGGCCTGTCCCCACCCCCACTACCCCCACCTCCAGTGCTCATCCAAGTCTCTGCTTTGAGTCAAGGGGCTTCACTGTCTGCAGGATGTTACCCCCCCCCCAATCAGCATTATGCCAAAGGCCTGGGGGTCCAGGGAGGGGCGGAGGTTGCTAGGCTGGTCCATGAGGTGGGGGGAGGGTCTCCAGCCCAGAGGCCTGCTCCAGTCACCATGGGCTCTGTTTTCACTGTTCATCTGCTGTCGAGACTTCTATATGGTAAACAGCAATGATCTTCCAATAAAGGATTTCAGATGCTCAGGGGGGCGTCTTGAGGGCTGTTGACACAGCTCTTCTCTTGGAGTGGGAGGGAAACCCAGTGAGTGTTGGAGGCCTGGCCTGTGATGCCTCAGGCTTTATTCTCGAGCTGTCTGGGCAGCTCCCTCTATTACGATTCTAGGTCCTTGCATGTGCTATTTCACTGCCTAGAACATTCTTCCCCAGGATTCCTTTACATCGGAGTTCTCGGCCCCACCCCTCCACTCTTTCGCTTGTCCCCCAAGCCTCCCTGCCACCGCCCATTCAGGAGCATCTTTCATCTCTGACCACTGCCCTTTGCGTCCATGGTCTCCACCCTGGTCCAGATGCCCATCCCCTCTGGCCTGCAGCCCGCCCCAACCTCTTCCCCGTCTCCCCCCTTCCCCATCAGACCCCAATAGGCAGTAACCAGAGGGTAGTCGTGAACACGTGAGTCAAGACACATCCCTCCCTGAGCATAAGCCCAAAGTCTTTGCTCTGGGTAGCTCACAAAGGCCTGCACCATCTGCGCGGGTCTCTCTCTGTCCTCCCCTCTGCTCGCCCTCTCTCCCGCTCCCTCCTTGCGGGTCCTTGAGCACTTTAAATTTCTCTCTATCAATGTGACCTTGGGCAGCTTACTCAGCCTCCACGTACCTCCCCCTCCACTGCACAATGAGTAATGTTAGTGCCTTTCTCCTGGGGGTAGTGCTAAAATGAGATCATGCTACAGGCAAGCAGGGCGCCTGGCACTTAGATGCCCAAAATGTGGGCCTTGGCGTGTGCCTGTCTCTCTCCCCGAACACCCTTCCTGCAGCCCTTGTGGGGCTCCTTTAAAAAGTAATAACTGGGCCACAGGAAAGGGCCTAAAGAATAGTATGATGAACAGGGACATCAGTTTAGGATGAAACCAAGCAGCAAGGCCCTCTGCCTGCCCCTTCCAGGGTGCCTACCCCTTCCAGGGTGCCTACCCCACCCCTGGCAGCTGCTTGTCCCTCAGGCCAGAGCTCAGTACCACCTCTTCCCTGGGGCCGTCGGCCCACCTGAGTTGCCCCTCACACCGGGCCAGGCGGCTTGCCTCACCTGCCATGTGCCAAGCTTTGCCGACCTGTATGCTGTCTTCTCCCTCATGCTGTTGAGCACCACCGGGGCACAAACGGTCTTCCATGGTCCTGAGGTACTCACAGTACCCTGGAGGGGCCCTGGCCCTTGGGGGGCGCTCAGTAAACCTCTACTAAAGCAAAGAGCACCTAGATGCTGTTGTGTGCAGGCTGATGGCCGCCAGGGGGCACTGGTGAGCTGCAGCCCCTGCTGGCATCCCCTAAAGGCTTTATACGGTGGGAATGGCAGCCGCAGATCTGCAGGATCTGCAGGGCTTGGGGAGGAGGAAGGCATCTTAAGGCCCTGGGTAAACCTCGCCCATCCAGGATCTGTCCAGGATTGGCAACTTCATTATTTACTGTGAAAACTTTCAAAGATGGAATCCATATTACTGGTTTTTCCTTTTGCCTCAGGCTCTAATATAACTCAGCACTGTTATGGATTCTCTACTTAAAATTTCAGTATTTTGTTCATGGTGGGTTTTTTTTCCACATTGTGCTTTTTAAAAAATATTGCATTAAAGTATTTATCTTGGTTACTGAGCTTTTTGGCGCCCTCTTTGCTTTCATGCCTCACCTCCCTCACCCTAGTGTGGGCTCTCCTAAGACAGAGGATTTAAAACATCAAATGCTATTAAGAGACACTCGGGGGGACTAGCTCTGTCTCTGCTCATCCTCCACCCAAGCGGTTCCCCGCCCCCAATCACAGGAGCCCATGGGAACCCACTGTCCACACTTTCTTCTGACTCTATCCAAGGTTTCTTTTTGTAAAATTGTGTTATTTTATTTTTTTAAATTGAATGCGTTCTTATCCCCTCTCCTCTCCTTTACCTAAAACATATCACGTTCCACATTCTGAAATGCATCTTGCTTTTTTCACCGAACAATATGACCTTCAGACCCTCCTTTATCAGTCCATCAGCACTTCCTCATTCTATCCTGTGTGGGAATCTCCACGGTGTGCCTATCTCAGCGTTGGTTTCATTTGGAGGTTTCCCAGTCTCTCTTTTTACAAACAAGAAATACCCTTGTGCACCATTTCCCATGAGCACAGGCATCCTACCTGTAGGAAAAATTCCCAGAAGCAGGATTGCTGGGTCTCAAGTGAGAAACAGAATTCAACTCAAAAGGGTTTCACAGAACAAACTGTAATGAAGGGATTGATGTCAGGGATGTGAGCCGGGTTGGAGAACCAACAGATGTATGTCGAATGTATTCATCTAGTGCAGCTGCCGTAACAAACTTAGTGCCTCCAACACAAATTTATTGTCTTCCAATTCTGCAGCTCAGAAGCCTGACACTAGTCTCACTGGGATAAAATCAGGACATTGGCAGAGCTGCGATCCTTCTGGAAGCTCAGGGTGGGATCCATTTCCTTGCCTTGCCCAGCTTCTAGAAGCTGCTCACATTCCTTGGCTCCCGGCCCTTCCTCCATCTTCAAAGGTGGCGAAGATAAGTCAGGCCCTCATATCCTATCACTCTGACTTCTTTTTCTGCCTCCCCTTTCCACTTTTTTTAAATTAAGATTTTTAATTTTATTTATTTGAGAGAGAGAGTGGGAAGAGGGGTAGAGGGAGAGGGACAGAGAGAATCTGAAGCAGACTCCACACTGAGCGTGAGCTTGACACAGGGCTCAATCTCACGATCACGACCTGAACCAAAACTGAGTCAGTCGCTCAACTGACTGAGCCACCCAGGTGCCCCCCCTTCCACTTTTAAAGATTCTTGTGATTACCTTGAGCCCAACAGGATAATCTTCTTACCTTAAGGCCAACTGATTAGCAACCTCAATTTCCATCTGCAATTTTAATTACTTATTTTTTTTTTTTAAAGAAGTGGCACTTTTTTTTTTTTTTACTCATGAGAGACAGAGAGACAGAGGCAGAGGGAGAAGCAGGCTCCCGCGGAGCAGGGAGCCCGATGCGGGACTCGATCCCAGGACCCTGGGATCATGACCTGAGCCGAAGGCAGAC